ATCACCATCAGTTGGAAAGATCTACAGAAGCTTAGCTCTTTCACTTATTTCAACAGCATTGCTCCAATTACAGGCGAAATAGATGAGACTGTTAAAGCCATTTAAAGCCAGATCAGGAAAGCAAAGGAGAATGGTATTCATTCCTTTAGAATCCCAGTAAAGATCTACTACACTCAGCACAAGGAACAAGATCCCGATCGTGTTTAACAATAATATCAAATCAGTTCTTCTATATGGTTCAGAGGCTTGATAGACGTATCAACTAAAGGCATTCATCAACAAATAAATTCGCTCAGTACTAAAAATCAGATGGCTGACCGAAAAGTATAAGCAACAAGGAGTTATGGCTGGCAGCGAAGGAAATGATGCAATGGATATGCGCTAAGGAGACTTTCACGTGACAATACACACAACTGAATAAGAAGTGATGGTTTGGATGTCTAATGCCAATGTGGTTGAAAGTATATAAAGAGAAAATGAAATCTAGTGAACAATCACATGGGGAGCTAAAACCAACCAACTAACCAAACAAACAACAGAAGCCTTATGCTCCAATACAAAAACAAAGAAAGAATAATAATATCCTAGACTGGAAGTCTTCAGCAATGCATACATTCCACTCTATAGAATTCAGTTAAAGTTCATACTGTTCAACCAAAATATTAACTCACAACATTTATATGTACATAGAATAACAAATTGATGTATAACACGATTTTATGCTTAAATAATTTAACTAAAATTCAAATTAACTTTCTGTCACAATGATATTAAACATTAAACATAAATAATTATTCAAATGCCTTTTGCTAAATTAAATAATCTGTAGCAAATGTATATATATATATATATATATATATATATGTTTAATCTGATAACTGTTATGTAATCAATCTACCGTTTAATAATTAAGAGCAGCAGTTTTATTATTATTATTATTATTATCGTTATCGGTATGATTTATGTTGTAGTATCAAACAAAACAATAAAATTAATTCTGTTGATTTCGTCATTGAATAAAACATAGTGAATAAGTTAGACTGAAGCCATTCACGTTTAGTTCACAATGAGTCAGTGTAAGTATTAGTTCGTGTGTGTGTGTGTGTGTGTAGTGAGAGAGAGAGAGAGAGAGAGGGAATGAGAGATAGCTACGGACGGTATGATTGATTAACTTATAGCAAATACATTAAAAATCTAATTAGTATTGTCACTTTCGACTTGTAAATTATTATTATTATTATTATTATTATTATTATTAGTGTTGGTATTGTTTAAATAGTTTTGTTTTTACTTTTGTAAACTTCAAGTGCGAGTTGTTTAATTATTGTTAGTCGTTCATGTTTGCCAGATCAAGGCTTTTTAACACTTTACCATGGTTTCATTTTAAGTATTGGGTTTTCATAGGGATTTAGTTTGATTGGTCGGAGGATTTCATCATGAGATGACATCAGTTAGAGAACCATTGGAAAACTTGCAGGGAGTACTGGACAGCCGTTTCCTTCGTCCTAGTTTGAGACTCATGAATTGGCAGAAGTTAGAATTCATGCACAGGCCATTGGAACAGTCCCCAGTGGCTTAATGGTCTACGAGATAGCTCTTCTTGTAACCGAGATATCCTGAGTTCGAACCCTGGCGTGGGTAGGTACTGATGAAGAGTCGTAGACTAGGACGGAGGAAACAGCTGTCTGGTAGCACTCCCAGGTTTTTAATGGTTCTCTAATTGATATCAGCTAATGATGAAATCCTCCAACCAAGCAAACAGTTTCATTTGTTTCGCAGTTGAACTGACTAACTCTATTGACAGATTGGTTCTAATGCTGGTTGGTAACTTTAATAAATTTCAATCGATTATTTACAAAGTGCACAGTTCCACATGGAATTTCAGGGGATTTAAACAGATTTGTCCTTATGAGTAGAATAAATCCAGGTGCTCAACTGTTGAGTGGTATCCTAAACAATAAAAAGAGCTACAAGATGTTAGCATCAAGCCAATGGGATTGGGTAACACCAGTGCTTAAAGTGGGTGGTTTTCAGTTAGTCATATAAATCAGGGGAATGCTGGAAGGTTATAGCATAGCGAATGTTCACTTAAAATATTAACATACTGTTAACTACTTTACTTAGTTGATAGTTACACAGGACTGGAATCCAAGATGTGCATTTCACTTTATTTAGGAAACTCAAGCACTTGGTTGAAGTTCCGAAGACGTACTAATTTCAACTCCTGTCGATTCATCAACCAACGTCATCAATGAGTATCCATTTTATCCTGAAAAACTGGAGCTCACTATCTATGCCTTCTTCCTAAAACTTCACATCATCCATTCTAATGCCAGTAATCAGATGGAGGCTTATATTCAGATTTTCAGATTGATTAGTTTTAAGCTGCATATTTTTATTAGGTCTTATGATGTAAACTGTTGTATATGCTTCCTTGGTGATTTCCTTCAATCATTCATCCACTCATTCGTAAAAATACTCATCGTTGCTCAGATGTAGAGACATTTCTGTGTTAAACTATTAATTTCAGCAAATAATAATACTGAGTAAAAAGCTACACGATTCTTTATATCCATGTGTAGGGCATGTTTAACCTTGTTGTATGGGATGAAGAAAGTAATAAAGAAAACAGGAGTAGCTTTCAACCATCCTTCAGGCCATGTATATATTGTAGTAATTTAAGATCATATATAAAAAACTCTCCTCACCACAAGGGTTCATTCCACACACACACACACGCCCAAAAATCACACAATCTGTTTTAGATTAGCAACCAAATGTAAATTAGGAATGTGATTGCCTTTTCTCAGCATTCTAATTTTCACATAATCATTCTGTTTATCCAAATATTACTTATTGTCTAATAATATTTGTTAAGAATTAGGAATAACGTGTTTTTTATTTATTTTGTAGTATAGGATGGCTGTGTACGGGTATGAAGATGGGGTTAGTTATGTGAAATGGATAATGGCAATAATACTGGCAGGATTTAACACATGAATACATTTTAATTTTTTCTTTTACAATTATTAACCTTAGGCTAATTAAATTTGGTAGGTTATATTGAAAACTAGGTGGCATGTGCGTAATTGTGTGGGTGGAGGTGTGAAAGGATGCGTGGGTGTTGTGATGACTCTAAACATATTTGTGTTTTGTTTTCCAGGGGAATATCATTGTTTGTTTCTAGGCCAAAGAATTTTAAGCGATTAATACTTCAGTATGTTATGAAAAGTTGTGACAAACTCTTAACTGCTCAGTGATTTAAGACAGTGTCGTTTTGTTAGTTAGTAGATATTGCTGTGATTATGATTCTGAGTTTTCCATTGACTGATTTTATTGTACTAAAATATTGAGTTTGTTTTGTTAACACATAGGCTTGATGATGTCTTCAAGTTAATATGATTGTCATCTATCAAAATACTTTAACTCTTCTGCACTTTTTATCGTTTTAATCGTTCACTTATATCAAGTGCCCAATAGATAAACTTGCGCGCGTATTTAATTAGTTTCCCACTAAAGTCTATGCAATTTCCTAAGGAATTGAAGAAAAATGTACAGAATTGGTTCTCTCCTCACTTTAGATTATTGCCTTACTGTATGAGGAGGAAATATTTTGGAACTAAATACACTGAAAATTTATTGTCTGAAATAAAGTTCAACTATTATTATTATGATGATGTTATTTGGTTGATGGTGACCAGCAGTGAAATCCAGAGTGCGCGTTTCGTCATGCTCAAGACTCCTCATCCGAGTCTAACCTCATCCTCAATGTGTGATAATATTTCCAGTGAAACAGAAACACAGTACCAATCATTCCAAACGATAAAACATCTTCTAAAGATCCCAGCTGGCAGAGAGAAAAGTTGTGAAATTCAAAATAATAATTTCAAAAAATAACAGCATGTGTCTCTCGTGACCCATTGGCACAGAATAGTGATTCCTAACGTTTAAATTAACTTTATTGCACGTATTCTTTTACAGCATCTACCCAGAAATTGAATCACCCTACAGTGTGTGAAATATCTGATTATAGTTAACCTTATTTATCAACATTTATATGTGACTAATCGGTTTGCAAAAATTTCCCCGCGTGTCCACAATTAGGATACTTAAAATATTCCGTTAGTCCACCTCGTATGCTTCCTTAGACTTTAACATTGACGTGTTAAACGCTCTTCAAGCAAATATTCATCTTTATGGAGTTCTTGCATTGGACACTAGTAACTAGTGTGATGTGCCTAATTCTTTGTTTGGTGCAGACTGAATTCTATAACTCACGTTTGCAATGTGGTCACCATTCCAGGGAGCTCACCATCATGGTGCACTTTGAATTGTTGATGTTAGATGGTTAGAGGCAATCGACAGGAAGCATTCTACTTAGGTTTCGCGCTAGTTGGCACTCACCAGTCAGCAAGGCTCTTTGACTGAATGCATTTGCTTAATTTCCTTTGTCCTGGAGGGGAACAAAGCTATAAAAATATGTATGTTGTCCTATCCAAAATGTTTTCGTATGTGAATTTCTTTGAATATTACTATCTAGTCTTCTAAAGCAGAAATACAAGAAGGAAATTTCTTTTTGGCACTCTTCACAAATAAATTTGGTAATTGGATGTAACACATTGAACTGGGTCATTATTGTGACTCTATCTAAAGTAATTTTCACAAAGGATGAATGTACCATCTTTATATTTTATCTACTGATTATTTCCAGTTTCCAACATTCATTTCAAGAGTAATTCACTCATTATACATTTAGTCTTCTGACACAAATCCTTATCTATAATTACTCATGTAAGAATATATTGTTTAGTACGTTTAAACCAACGGTCTAAAGTAAATTTCCATAACACAGTCAATTTACTTATTTACATTATTCAGTAGTATAAACAATTACGGTTATTTTATATACTCACCATATCACAATTCACTTTACTACATAAAAAAAACTTTAGAAAAAGAAATAAGAACGACTATTATTACAAGACAATTTACATTTATTATGGTAATATTATGTACAGTTGACTTCTATGTTTGTTTTAAATGATAATGAAAGCGCAAACAACGGAAAGCTAACGATTTAAATTTTATGACAAGATATAAACTTTTTTATACTTAACATGAGGTATTATTCTTAATCACTGAAAACTTCTACTTCTCTTAGGTATACAGCGTAGCTGATATAAACAGGCAACAGTGTTTGTGTTTTTTTACATACATTGGACAGTGAAAGTTTGTGTATAAATTAAGTTAAATTGTCACACATTAGTTAAGCATGTTAGATGTGAATAAACTGATAGTTGATGTACTCGCTTTTCTGAAAAACACGGTTTATGATATATTCTATGCTCAAACAATCTGATAACTGTGCTCACTGAATCACTGGAAAACAGTAATGAAACTATGAAAGAAACTTGCCTCAAGTCTACTAATACTATAAGTATTCTGAGTTTTTATTGGATGTATGAATATGACGATTTACATTTCATAAATTCAAGTAAAGTCGAAACAAAACAGGACAATACAAATATTTGCATAATTTGTTTTAGAGGTAGAACTAGGACGAATCATTTAATACTGATTCCTTCAGTAATAAGTAGTGTATACAAGCTTTAGAAAATTTTGTTTCGCAACATCTCCAAATACAGTTTGTTCTAGGGTGGAAAATTCTATAAATCATATTTCAGTCATAGTTCTGTACTTCATGTTAGATTGATTGTATCCTGATAAAAAAGAGATTCAGGCAGGAATAGGTGTGTTAATCTATAGATCCATTGAATTAACCACGGAACACCAATTGAATAATCTGAATACCTTTCATTGTTTTCAGTATATTCTATGAGATTGATGTATGGATGAACTTTTAACATTATTGTATACAGTAATTTCCATGGCCATATGATAAGTGTTGCTAAATTATGATTTGAAATATGCGCAAAACATGAAACTAGTACATTGTCAATAATCAGTGTACCAGTATCAGTTATAGGCGCGTATATACCAATATTATCTCTTATACCTACACTGTCATTAATTGCAGGCTGTATAGTTTCAACTGAAATTACTTGTGCCTTTTTCAGTCCATCCGTGGCATTTTCGTAATGTACAAAAATGATCTGACCTACTGTCACAGATGAAGCAAATACAACTTTTTTATTGTCCACTTGTATATTTTCTGTACTGTTGGACATCATAGAATTGTCATATATATAAATTAGATGATCTGCAGTAAGCCTTATTGTACCATACTGATTTGAGTTTGAATCCATCTGAAATTTAATTTCTACCATTGGACTCCATCCATGTTCATCTCGATCAAGAAATCCAAATACCAGTGCATTTGTCAATAATCCATTTTCTGAATTTTGTGTTATTATACGATCACCAATTTGTAAGTCTTTGATCGATATAACTTCACCATCTGCTCTACGTAGTTTTGATTCGCCTGGGAAACATCCAAACCATTGAGAAGTGATAATGGAATCTAGAATTCAATAAACAAAAAACCAATGAGTAAATCAATATATCGTCTCTCAAACTTCAGTCATTAAAATCATACTACTGATATTTTGTAAGTAGTGTCATTTTATAATTGCATTTTCATAAAAATCCCAAAATAAGTGAAAAAAACGTTACAAGACTTAAGATACACAGATATCTGAATTGGTATGTTTTCCTGAGTCCCAGTAATCTTCGAAGGCGCTGCTCATAAATGTGATTCAGTTATTTTGTTATTGACATAATAAAAAATTCTCTTTATTATTTTATAAAGAAATTATATCCGGTGAGGGAATTAGGTCAAAGGTGTAAATACATGAAATAATAATAGTATGAAATAAATTTAAAATATTTGTGATTATATTCATAGTTTAAGTCAAGTGGAACAATAATTAATGTCATATATAAGATAATACATCAGGTGTATAGATTTTGGGAGAGGCATGTAATTGTAAGATTAATAGACGAATGTAAAATGTTGCGTAACATGGTGTGAAATTTGATAACATAAGTCAAGTGGAAAAGATTCAGAATGAGAGTCGTAATAATAATAATAATAATAATCGAAGTAATAAGGGAAAAGTACATAGAATAACTACATAAATAAAATAAATAAATGTCTATCCTTCTACGGCCAAGGCAGCAGTAGGTTATTGAAATTATTATTTGTTTTTATTAACAGTTTGATAGTTTGACCATACACATATAAAAATATATAAATAGACATAGTATAGGGTCAAGTGCATGTCTACATGTGAACACGTGAACAAAGACTGTCAGTTAGTACATACCACTGCACATAGTTATGGTCTTAGGTTTCAAGTCTTAGTAATGAAGGAATTTAATTTGTTTTAATATATACACAGATGTTTCGTAATGCATACTTCAGTGGATATATATATATATATATATATATATATATATATCTGCATGAATTCACACCCTTATACAAAAAGCTTTATAATCGAAGTATTTGTGATGCCAAGATTTAAAGCCTTACATATTTTCTTATCTGATTCCCTACATGGAGACTTTGAATAGATTATTGTGGTAGGTGGATGAGAATGGCAAATAGAATGATAATCGTATTGAAATGTTTTGATTAGAAGAGGTTGCTGCATTAAAATTATGTTGAGTGTTTCTTGTATATGTATGTAATTTATGTATGTTTATGTTTGCATATGTGGGCACAGAAACCTGTATCTACAATCACTACCTTGACACCAGTTAAAGTGTACATTTTGTTGAAATAATCCAATTTTTATGTTCAATATTCAATATACACATTAATCAGGAATTGCTATTCTGTTTGCTAATGTAGGTATCTATGACTAGATAAGTATAATTTCTAAAAACATCTTTCTGTTTTTAAGTTGACAATAAAACATACATTTATTTGACCTACCGCTAAAAATAAAATAAAATAACTTCAGTATACGTGTGAGGAAGAAAAGATTATTGAACACAAAAAGTTATTAAAAATCGATCCTCTTGGATGACATTTACCGTATCAGGCTCTTCACTTTTCAACATTATACATTTATGATTTTTGACGCCAGATCTTACCGGTAATCGATAATCAGGCAGTCAACAAAGTTATGGTGTCTGATATTAGCCTGTCTACAATGAGTGATATATTATACGCTGTACTATATTTGATTAAATCCGAAAAAATGCACCCTAATTTAAAATGAATATTTGCTTGATAATGCATACTACTGATTGATTGATATGAGTAGTTTGATGGCACTCACGTGAAACAGTGGTGCTTACTAGAAAGACTGAAGTGATCTAATTACCGGACGACCGTTTTGTTCGTTTCATCAGTCGTGTATCCGGTTCCACTCAGTTTGAACAACCCAAATTTTTCGATTTTATTGTCTTTAAGTAGTTGAAATTGCAGAACAAATTAAAGTTTTTAAACGGTGTTCATAGTTTTAACTTTCCGTAGAACTATTCAATGAGAATGTTGAATTAGGCGCCAAGTTCAATGTAATTCTTATGTAATATCATCTTTTTTCTATTTCAGTTGCCTTATCTTATTACACAATTCCTTATCTTTGATCCTCCATCTCTAATATACATCCATTATTTTTTGATCAAAACTCACTAATCTTAGCAGCTTTTAGTTCTTCTACTAGAAAAACTATTGGACAAATTCAAGATCACAAATAGTATGTAATTGCAACTATACAGTTGTAGTGAATAAAGTCGCACAAACGAGTCATTGCACTAAATCATGCGTCTTGTTTTCTCTACATATCCTGATGTGGATCTCCGGTAAATCTGTGAGATTGAGAATTTACTTACTGGATTAGTTGAGCTGCATCATACACATTGAAGTTTGATACTTACTGAGACAGTACTACTGCATAGAGCCAATGACTACTCACCAAATGTATAAGATAGTGGAATCTACCTTATTTGGGTTGGGAATTAATAATAAAAGAGACGAGCAAATATAACACGTATACAGTGAACTCATAGTAACTTATTCAGTGCTAATAAGACATAATCAACTTCATTTGATTAAAGCAGTTAAAGCTATAAAACATAAACATGACCTGCTACTTGCTGCTTCATTGTTAAAGCCTAAAAGGATATTCATTTTCATCTGAATAAGAACAGAATGAGGGGAAATAGACAGTGATATTATCTATGATCTGCTATTTCGATAACAGTTGTCTGAGAAATTGAAAAATGAATGCATCTCAAGTTTAGTGTTGTAGTGAATGAGTAGGGGTGGAGTTTAATTCATCTAAGGGTGTTAAGCAAGTCTTAAGGGCTGAATAACACCTCATCAAGGGGTCCTTTCTCGTGGTATGGTGTTGCCAGAAGACTATAAAAGCCACGTGTTCAACTGTACAAGATTGTCTAGAATTAATAGTGAATTCTCTTCAGCTAAGCATTAAAACAGAAGAAGATAAATATAGGAAATAAAATTTGAAAATTATGTTGACACGTATCAGAATATCATCACTAAATACTTAACATTTCATCCAATCAGTTGACATATCTGTGTCATATTCAGGTTTTAACTGTGTTGAAAGCATCCTCTGTTAGAAAGAGAATCGGGTTTTTAGAAAATTAATACCCCAGTTAGTTTTACAATAAGTCACAACTGAATTACTTACATTCATTCTATAATCCATCACCTGGAGATTAGATCTTACAGATGACGAATTTCTTTGTACAAAGAATTGCAAATGATGAAGTCCACCTATTACAGTATCTTATAAGAGGTATTTATTTTCAACGACTTCATCTCCTTGCTGTACAGTGGTATTCATATTATATTAAACTGCAGTTAATATCAATGAAAACTGTTCACTCATTGCCGTATATGATAAAAATTAATTAACATGATTGATAGTCGGGTGAGGTTGAAGTGGATGAAATACAGGGGAAAAATGTTATTAAAGAAATAGAATTAATACTAAGCAGTTTGAAGTGGGTTGGCTGAATATAAAGTTTAACTTTTTGTTCGTATATAACTAATGCTCCAGGCAAACCTAAGCGATGAAAGGGTAGACATTCTGAAGGGCTATAGAAAACTTTAAGAGATAAATCAAGTAGAGCTAAATGAAATGACTCGAAATGTTTGTAAATAGAAGATTTCGTCATCTTATGTTTACCTGTCGTCAACAAAACAGGATAATGTTGGGCTGGGTGTTTCCGATGTACATGCATGTACAGCATTCGGTGCAGTCATCTCCACTGGACCATGTGAAATAGTAGATACACACAGACGTGGACAGAACAGTCGTTTATACTATGCACATTTTCTAATCATACTCCGGCTTGTGTATACCAGGCGTAAGTGAGCAGTATAGGAAAAGTGGTGGATACATTCAGTAGTGACATCACCTATGAATACCAAATTCACCATTAGTATCATCTTGGTCATTGTTTTTTTTACAAGGAGCAATCTGTTTTCTCCTTTTAATGTTTTCTTAGATAAACATTCAGCGTGTCCACTATTCCTCAGGTTTCTTCAAAGGTTTTCCCACGTTCTGTATTGACTATATCCTTATAAGAGGTTTTCAGGACTTTAGAGCATAGAGAACAGATTAAGTTTCTCTCATATACCTACATAATTGATATAAGGATATAACTTAGGCACTGTGGTAGAGAAAATTTTATTTTGATAAAGTCACACAGTACTTGTTATACAGTAATATTTACTGATGATCATATTTCGAGCAGAAATTATTGCTCATAATCATATCAAGGTATTCATGCAACTTCCTTGCTTCGTTTATATGCATGAGTAAAAATTGATTAGACATCTGAATAAAATCAATATAAGACATGCGTGAAACAGAAAGGAAGATAGAGTACATTCGGAAACAATATTAGTGTTATCAATAAAATACAATAGGATGTGAAATAAGACGAGTGTTGTCAGTCAATAAGATGGGAAATAAGATGTTTTATTAGTGAAATAAAACACTTGTTAGTGTTATAATGTGAATTGAATACATTTTAACATTATTTATTATCCTCCTCTGATTTGACTGTTAATAATATCTTCCATATCTCTGGTATTTGCATTGAGTCATTTCTGTTGCATGTGTTGGCTGTAGACTCGACGAACCAGGATTCAGTGATGAATCTCCCTCTCCGCCTATCTATATTACTTCTTAGTGGTTGTGTGTTAATGCATGCAGTGCTATAGCTGAGCCTTTTTTCTAAATTACTTATCTTGGCGGAACCAACCATTTCAACCTTAGGTAAATTCTTATGTTCTGATAATCTCACTACTCCTGAACTACTAGTTTGACCTCACAGTCATTGCAAGTTATTTTGTAAATTACGTTTTTTTGTTTAACTGGGTCCACCGGGTCCCTTAGCCTACAGAGCTTGTCTCTGAGTGAGTTTATAGGTTTGAATGCCACTGTAGTCCCTGCTTTATTGAAATTTCATCCATAATGGAATTACTTAGGTTATTGTTGAAGACAGTGGAATATCCTATAAAGGCTGATGTGTTGAAGAAACGGTTTCTAGTGAAATTAACTGACTTTCTACATAATATACATCTGCATAGCCTGAAAATGAATAGATCTATGCTTATTCACGGATACATTTTGATGTCCTGAGAGGTAATTACTTGTAAATTTTCTCAACGAAATGCAGAAGGAGAGTTTAATAACAATACCGTAAATAGCTGACAAACGAAAAAAGGTGATCCTGTGGTTAGTGTTCCTGATTAAATATCTACAAACAAAATGAACACAATTTCTAATTATATCGTTTACAAAAGGAATAGGGTTAGTTCTTCTGTGGTGTATTTAGTAGCCCAAGCTATCTGATTGGTTGTAATTGACTTGTTAATAAAGTTTCTTGATTGTTTTACGACACAGAGTAATAATCATTCGTGGTTTACGACTAATTCATCACGTTTCTTTCAATATAATGCCATCCATTGTGTAATGTTACGCTTGTGATAAATTTTTAATACAGAAAATGGTTCCTATCCTTGTCATCAAGTTACAAAGACATAAACAGTGACATGCATAAATTTAAGTCAGCATATCTACTCACCTTATCGTTTATTCACATATAAATAAAAATAAATGAATAAACTAACTGAAACATTTTAAATATTGAATAACACTTTAAACACTCACCGGGTTTCACTGAACAGTGTACATGACCAGCACGGTTAAAAAAGCACCAATCAAAATGTGCTACATAATAGGCTATTTGTGCTAATACACCCAAGTGTAAGTCTGAATTATGAGGACGGCCAAATTGTCGTGTAGTTAACTCAATATCTACAGCTCTACCAGCATAATGAAATTCTTCCATACGTAATTCATTCAACACTGACGCAGGTAATAAGTGGTTCTGATTATTGTGGTTATTATTATTATTACTGTTACTATTGTGATCATAATTACGATGTTTTCTACTAATATCTGGAGCATGCATTGTATTAACTGAACGTTCAACTATCTTATGTAATCGATTTGGATTTTGATTGGTGAAATCTGTTTGATTATCGATTAGTGTTACATTAGTGATTGTAAAATTAGATTTTTTGAGAAAGGCAGCACTTCTAGGCAATCGAATCATGGTGTTGTACGACGAATCTGGTAGTGATGAAGAGATTTTGTGTGAGTTATGAAAATTTGTGGCTGATGACTTATATGAACGTTGATTTTGTCCTGAATGTGCTGACAGAGACTGTCTAGCTAGTGATGATGGTGAAGGTGTTAGATAGTTTGGGTTACTTTGTATTGCATGCCAACGGTTTCGTTGTGGTGACACACTTCTGGAGGTTGGAATATACTGAAGAAATTTTAAACCGTTCGACTGTGTTCCTATCCTGTTCGGATCTGAATGATGTTGGATAAACTGATCATCTACCATTTCTGGTGTCATATCAATAACTGGTGCATCAAGATGAGGTTTTGACTTCATCGGCACAAATGGTGCTGTTTTCTTGCCAGAAAATACAGTTGGCGGTTGTTCAGCGAATACAGAATCACGACTTCGTGCATTTTTTTCTGATTTGAAATTTTTCTCATAAAGTAACAGTGAATCACCAGTATCGTCGTCTGTGTGTTCTTCGGAATTGTCTTCAGTCGGAAGAGGTTTATAGTTTGGTGGTGGTTTAACCCAAGAACGTATCACGCGTAAAATCACTTCTTGTTTAGCCCATGTATTTTGTATTTGTGTTGATAGCTTAATCAGTCGATCACGACAACCCTAAAGTGAAGAAGTAAACGAAAAATGTCATTAATATGTTTACCTACTGAACTCAATTTTCAGTAGTAAGACAAGCCGCACTGAAAACTTTAAAGATTTCTACCCCCATTTTGTATATCCTGGGAAAGAGAGGAAGTGAAAGTGTGTTAATCAATTTCCGTATTTTCAGGAGTGTATTCACTTGTTGTTTAGCCACCAAAAAACTCTCCATTAGTTTTGAAGACAGGCAATTGATTAGACTGAAGGGAAATCTCTATTGTAATAAAGCTGCATTGCGATGTAAGCCGATACTATATTTAGGAAAAGAGATTGTTTCAAAGACTTTCATTGATATTTAGAGGAGAGATACTTTAAGCCAAGAAGTCGAATTATTATTTTAAAACTTAGAGTATATGTAATCAGCGATATATATGGCAGATTAGGTGACCTGAAAACACCTTCATGAACAATCTATTTACTATATTGACGCATATTTGAATTAAGAGAGTATGGCACTTTAAAAAGGTCGTTCTAACGAAAGCCAGCATTTACAGGTCAGTACACTAACTTCAACAGAAATCTTATCCGTTCTTCATGCTACTGAAATGGTAAAATTTTCTCTGTAGATATAATCAACATAGAATTACAAGCCTTCTCACAACTCTCTTAAATAATGGATATCCTAGAAGGCTTATCTACAGAAACATCAAGAAAGAAACCATTCCCAGTTAAATCACGTGCCAAAACAGACACTGTTTAAGAATTCGGCCTTCAAAGGTGACAGTATTTCTGGAGTAATTAAAATTCGTTTATCTAAATGTATTAAACGCTGTTTTTATGCAGCTGACTTGCATTTAGTATTTACCAGCCGATATATGATTCGACCATGTGTCAAGGATAAACTACCCCTTATATGCGTCCACCTCTATGTGCATAAACTCATTCATATGCTCCTGTGGAGCTGATTACATTGGACGGTGTAAGCGTAATCAGTGTAAACGCGTAGCTGAACACTACCCGGTTTGGTGAATGAAAGGTGAGCAAAAGACGACAAAGTCTTCATTCTGTGAACACCTTCTGCAGTCAGGTCATTCAGACCCACTTGATTTATCCTTTAAAGCCACCTACAAAACCAAATCAAATCACCCCAAAAGTTTACATCTTCTTCGCTTATTTATAGCCAAAGCTGCAGCTATACACTGACAGAAACCTAAATTATATATTCAAAAACGTCTTGTCAAACACCTTTTTTTTACCTTGATCATAATAATGTTCTTTTGTTTTATTCTATTTTACCACTTGAATTCATTCCACTTCACTTCACCTTCGCCGTCTTCATTGTTATCATCATCATCGTACTCTTAATTTTTCGGACAACACTTGACCTATAATTTTAAAATCTTTATACCAGTTCACTTATTTAATAATCTTTAAAAGTTTTGTAGTACATCCACTTCAACTCTACCCCCTTACTATATCATTTTAATTATCTTTATTCTTATCAAATGCTTATTGACAGAGCAATTTCCGGCGCCATTTAATGCCGTTTTCTGTAATACAAATACGAGTGTACAGCTTGGAAATGAAGTTGTTGAAAAGAAATATTTCTTCGCTGAACAAAAGAAGTACTGTTTGCTTTTTGTAAGTTAATGGGTATATTTCGGTATCAATATTTGCATATCTTCTTATGACCTTAGTCCTTTTTTGAGTTGATATTTACTCTTTTATGTTATGTGATAGCGTTGGTAATGATGTGTTGTTTTGCAATTGCTATTTTGTTGGAATAAACTGAAAGTTGTGTGGTAGGTTGATTACATGACCTTAGACTGTCTACAGAAAACGTGTTTTGTTCTATTTGATTCATGAAGACATAGTTTTGATCCCATATTTCTGGGAATACCCCTATTCATTCTCAGGTAATTCATGGTTGCGTTAGGTTAACTAATCTCTTTGTGCTGTGCTTATTTTGTACCTGAAAAACGTTTGGATCGTATAGCCGCCAAATAACACTGTCGAGGTGATTTTTTTCAATTTTTGATAAAAATTGTTGATTATTTAGTAGTATTAGAGATTCTATCGCATCAAATCGTGTTTTGATATTGCCAGAATAGAAATTTTAGCTGTGAGTTACTCGTGGAAATTTTACAAGCTACACAGAGGAACGCGTTGGTTAGTTTCCTGCTTTCAAACATAAATATTTGGATTCGAAATCTAGCTGGCTAGTTAGAAAAAACTGACATTACATAGAATTAAGCAAGTCGTTGGAAAATTTCACAGTCTGAAAGAGAGATCACACTATGCTTTCCTCTGGAAACCCAATATATATTCAAGTCAAAAACATTATTGGTTGAGATGAGTACCTTTCACCTCCTCATATCTAACATTAGAGTATGCCGTTATACTATTTTGATTGATTTATTTGTTGACGGATATCAAACCGATCACATTGTGTGATCTGAATATTTTGGATTACTGAGTGGAACACATGGTGAATTTTCGCCCCATAGTGTGTAGCTTGCAAATGAAGAATTCGAATAACTTATAACATATCTTCTATCCCTTCTGAAAGATAATGAATGTAGGTCTATTAATCAAAAGAACGCTGTGTTTTCTCAAAGGAGGTACTTTCAAATGACAAATGCCTTTTTCTTCTAAAACTAATTTATTTTATACTCTCTTGTGTATGACACAGAAGTATTTCGTCATTATACTACTCAGCAACTAGAAAATTACACGAAAAAAAAATCATACAGCGATAAAAACTACTAGATAACTTAATTAAAATCATAATATCTCAATTTTTCCCCAAAAAGTGAAACAGACATCAACTAAAATAGGTAATAACAACTGACATTATCCTTATGAAATAGTAAATATGCCTAATGATGACATAATACACGACGACAAAGTTTTGAATTTGTTCAGTTATACAAAAGTGTACAGCCTACGTGTAGGCGACGAAACTGTCAACTTCAATTTGTAGCGACAGTGAGAGAGAGAGAGAAGAGAGGAATACAACTTTCATGTCAAGTATCATTTTACAAGTCGATAATATCAGAATGATACAACATATTCTGAAAATTAATCATGTTATTATTATTATAATTATTTGAATTTATTTACTGCTAACTTTTTAAAAAATTAAATCAACAAGTACTTTATCAGGTTAAAAAGACATTTACTAACTGTTGTGTACACGTTTTAAGCAAAGAAAAATATTTATTAATTTACTTAAACATTTATTGCTGTGCTGACGATATATGTAGGCCAACTGTTGTTTAGTCTTGTTGTGCAATCTGTTACGTCAGTGGGCATAAACCGATTCAAGAAAGTTAAGCTTCATTTTCGTAGGAACATGTAAAATGAATATTGCCTTGATTCTACATAGTCTGTGACAAAAAATGTATACCCCTCCTCCCCCTCTTTTGTTGATATCAGATCAGAGATATTCATCTAATCAGTTAGACTGCTGAACGACATGATCAGCTGAACACTACTGACACCGAGGAGAAAAAGCTACAGATTCGTTTACATTCTCTATATATTTCAGATGTTCAAGCTGATGCCACAGATCATAACTGTAATCTTGATGTAATGTATTCATCAAGGTATTATTGTTCCTTATTTGCGTCCCAAGTAGAACACGAGGCTTCAACAGCACATCTATATTGTATTGGATACTCTGTCATCGCTTACAGCTTCTCATGAGATCTCATTTCCTGTCCACATGATCTTCTGTATTTCACAATTCAGCGGCCACGTACTCACTTCTCATTCTGAATTGTAACGGTCTGCTTAAATCACTGGGCTATCTAAATTTTCTGTCCATAAAAAGTGTATTGTATTTACTCTGTTTCATATTCTTTTAATGATCGAATTATCATAATGAGTCGTAATCTACACTGGTGTACAATTACAAATAAGTTTCTACCTACCGTTAGGAATTTTTGGAAGGACATTTTGGAGTAGTACTGGAGGAAGCTTCGGTTAATATATTATAGACTGTAATTTACCTGTAGATTCTGCACAAGGTGTAGATTCCTTATAATGAAACTCACTGAAAATCCTCTGTTGTGTATAAATGCATTTTTCAGAATAAAACCATAATTATTACTATAATTATAACTGACATGATTGTGAACAATAAACTGTCCTAAACGTCATCCACTAAATAATACCGTCTAGAAATTTCCTCAAAAATGTTGCATAACTAAAGTAAATGCTGGTGATCAGTTGGTTAATTATGTAATTATAGCAATAAGTTGTGAAGTTTTGACTTAAAAGAAAATAAAATGGGCATCATTTAATGAGAAAGAAGATTGAAATTGTCGCTGATGTAAAACTTAGAGGATGTGTCATTTGATATATACGTATAAGTAGATTTTCAAAATTCCTGAATAAGAAAGTAATGTACGCCTCCTGAATTACATTTACCCATCCTGTATTAGGAAACCGTCAATAACAAGTAATCTATACTACTTAAAAGCTAATCACAGAGAGTAAGCAATATCTAACCAGTGAGCTTTTAGAATCATACATAAATTATTTAATTCAAATACATTTACTTAGTTTGGATAATAAGAAATAAATTTAAACAGCACTTATTTAGTACTCACAATGTCTTCACAGTCCGCTTTTATTTCATGAGTACATAAACCTAATTCGCAAAGTTCTTATTAAGTAAAACAGAAAGGCTTGAAAGCCATACAGAAGTATATTAAGTAACACCATGACATTTCACAATATCACGGAAAAAAGTATAATTTTCGAGTGTATTGTTATTATTGTTGTTCCCTTGGGTTCCTAGTCGAACATAGGGCTTCAACTGCACGTTTCTACTTGCTTTTGTCTTCTGCTGTACTTTTCACCTGCATCCATCCATGTTAGTCCATACTCTTTCAACTCTTCTTCACACGATCTCCTCCATGTCACCCTTGCACTGACGTCCCACTTTCCGCTTCCCTTTCGAGTTACACTCGACCCAGCGGCCTCCTCAGCGAGTGTCCAATCCATCTCCACTT